TCCAAATAACCGTTATTCAGCAACTGACAATGTATTTTCTTCAAAATACTATTTTGTCGTTTTTTAGGACATTTTTAAGCAATTGTAAATGTTTGCAATCTGTCTAATCAATTGCCAAATTTAAGATGATAGATTAATTGGTTTATGAGGATTAGTCAGCTGGAGAACTAATGAAAACCAGGAAGCATCTAACAGCTTCAGTTTAATTGGATATTTTTTAGTAGCTGAACGAATATTACTGATGGCACTATGTTGTGGTCGCGTATTAACATGAACTAATTAAATTTTGACCAGCGTATTCTGTGACTCATTCTTTGTAAAATCTCGAGGTTCTGAGTTCAGTTCCATGTGGTATTGAAGAAGGAGTCCAAATTATAACGAGCCGAGTGTTTATTCATCACTTATTTTCAAATATTTACCATCTAATGCTGGTCAGTGACAAGAAAAAAATTGATTATACTCAATACAAGAAGGTTACGTTTCAATCTTCTTGTACGTTTTGAATAAATAACTTTCAACACGTTATTCTGTCAACGGTAAAGGATACACAGAAGCCCAGACAAAGTGTTTTCGAAATAGTTTATTTGCTACAATAGATCCAAATGATGCGAACAATAAACATAATAGCGGGCAAATTAATGAGTATTGTTTAACACGTAAACATCCATGTGTAAGAGAAACAATAGAAATTTCTACCAATCAGTGTTAAAGTGGATAAGAGAGATAAAAGTATAAACTGACATCCGTAAATTTGGTTACACAAACTTATTCCTGCAAGCCTGAGTATAGACTACATAACATTTGTCTGACAAATAGCTAAATTTAAAGCCTTAGCTAATTTGAACATGTAAGGACTTTTGAGTGATTTAGGGCACTCTATATACTGTTTAATTACACCCATTTCGTCAGTGGGCCGTAAATTGGATAATTGAGTTGTCCATTTTATAAAATGCTCACTGGAACGTCTTAAATCCGCATCACTTTAACGGGGAGTGAAATGAGAAGGCAATAGCTTGTATAATGATTGGTTCATTATCTTTCACCTACTTTATGATATGTTTAGATAATGATTCTAGTATCAACCATTTTACACAAATCATCATGAATTTTCCAACTTAACATTAACGATTTCCCACATAACTACGAACTGTAAAGTAATCCAAATAAAATATACATTCTGACTTGACTACTTGTGAGTAGTCTAAACCGATAGGAATGTTTTTATTCACTTAAAAATTTGCATCATATCACAACACAGATATATAATTTAAAAAAAAATACTCTTTTCAACAAATTCAAGTTCTACAATCGTGTGTCTAACTTAATAATCCGAAATGTGGTTAGGTTTAAAGTGAAATACAACGTTTAAAGTGATAGCATATGAATTCAGAGTTGTTTGTAATATAAATTAAAATAAAATCGCTAATGTTGGGATGACTAATTTGAAGTGTTGACTTGAATAAATTTATACGTTAAACGAAATAGAGAGGATTATAATCAGAATAAATTCGGTTAACATGGGTTATGAGAGATAATATTGTAATTACAAATGAGAAATTATGTAATATTTAGAATATTATGAATTATGTACGACCTAGTAAATAGGGTTGGATGTTGGGTAAATTTCTTAAAACGTTTACAAGTATTATAATAGTAATGATGACAACAACGATAACAATATGTGTGAACATGTTTAGTCTACGAAAATGCAGTGAGGAAAGTTGTATGAACATTAATCAAATTATATCACCATATCATCATAATGATTGAATAATTAGGCTAGAAGTTGGCCAAGATAATAGGAGCGGTTGAACTTACTTCTAGACACATAGCTCAAAAGTTCTGATCCAAATAGTTATTGCTTCAGCCATCTGAAAGATTATAAATCTGAAGGATTTGGGCAGATCACTGTTCACACAATATGTTATTGTACATGATTGCGCCATCTTGGCTGTATGGTCAGTTTGTATTAAATAAGCTAAAACCCAGCTGTTAATATTTTTAATTATACCTTTGCTTAATCACACTGTGAGGTGCTAACAGGCACGAAAATACAGATTCCTAGAACACCTTCCAATATAACTTGCTACGCAAGAGCAGTTGGATTGATAGATACAGAAAGAGGTGGCTAGTCTAATTAATTTATCTATGAATCTTGTAGTGACCATCGAACGTAGGGAAAACATTAATTATAGTTTACATGCATTGAATGTGCCTTGAATTACTTTAGTATTAACATTTCGCGGGGTGCTTCGTCTCTAGATTGTAGGCGTATATACAGAGGGTTTATGCTACCAGTTATATCTTCTTAACGCTCTCTTATCATGGCTGAATGTTTATTCATAAGCTTTTTTCGGATATCCATTTTCTTTCAGATCAGTACGCAATGACATTTTTCTTCTTTAACCGCATCTAAGAACCATACAGTCTTAATTCGATAATGAAAAGTCTTAATCAAGTTCCTTTTTACTAATAAGGAACAAAATTAAAAAATTTTTGTATACTGACCAGTCTAATTAGTTTTCTGTTTTAAGTCCCTTTTCAGTGACTAATCTATCCTCCTTGCAAGTAAAACATTGACAAAAGTTATTCTACCTCTATTTCCTTCATCATATGTGAATACGATAGACGGATGAACTTCTTTAAATTGCTTGAGTGTCTTTATTCGGTCAGTATGATAGTTGGACTTATCGCATATATATCGACAGTTAAATGAAAACTTGTCAATATGCTGTGCCAATTGACTGTTTTCTAGTTTAGTGGAATAAAATCTCAGCCGTATGGAACCTAGGGGCGAAGACATTGTAACACCATCTATTTGTCCATATATTTCATCAATGAATTTGAAGTTTACGTTCATAGTATATTTCAGTAATAATTCCAAAAAGAAGTCCACCGGGTATATAGTCTTTCTTTCTTGTTCTCTAAGTCATTCACACATATATTCAACAATCTCCCTGAGTGGAACATTTTTAAACAATGATGTTAAGTTAAGGACATCATCATTTGTCCTTTGGTGTTTACGTTTTTGACCTTGTCGACGAACTGGAACACATCCTTAATATTATGCCTCACTGTATGTTTGTGGAGTGGTTTTAAAGTGGTTACTAGCCACTTTACTACAGTATGCTGACGGGAATTGTAAATGTCTAAAATCAGTCTCAATGGGATATACGGTTTGTGTAGCTTTGGCGGTCGGTATAATTTTGGTATCAACGTCGTTGTTTCGCTTGATAGAATTACCTGTTGATCCCTGAGGTTTCCTAAATATCTGGTCTGTTCATTCTCTATCTTATTATTGCATCCTTCTAGTCATTCAGATTTTGGAATTTTAAATGACCAGTCAAGATATTATTCACCTTGTCGATGTAGTCTGTGTGGTTGAACAGGACAGTCCCCGTTTCATTATCAGGTTTCGTAATCATTGAATTTCCGTCATTATTAAGTTCACGAATAGCTTTGTGCTTTTTAGTTAAAATGGTTCTGTAGTTATATCTGCTATTCTGAAATTGACAGCAGTAATCAACCAGAAATGATCTAAAACGCCCAAGACCTTAATCGGAGGTCGGAACTAGATTCTAAATTGGATGTCTTTATTTATTTATGCAGCTCCGTCCATCACAATTTTAGATCTAGTGATAGTGATCCAATTTTTCCTTTATTTAATTAGTTGCCGGAAAAATTATGAACATAAATTATAAGTTCAATCGGAGGTTTATTTTGAACTGGTTGATTTTCTATGCTTTTGAAAAGTTGGATACGTCTCTTCACTGATCTTTGTTTAGTTATCTTTGTAACTCAATGTCTTCTGTTAATTTATCAACAGTAAGTTTCCTGTGAGCAACCTTTACTTCGAACTCCAAGTCAGTATTTAATAGATCAAATTGGTTTAATGGATAATAATCCAATGCTTTTTTGTTTTGATGAACTTGATTACGGCAATAATATCTTCTACAGAACAGTTTTGGATTATGACGTGATTCAATAGAGTTCCCAATAAATTCCAACGACGTTTTAGCTTTCTTGAACTCTGCGCTATACTTCGGAACTTCATTGAGTGCCTTCAACTCAATGGGTTGATCCTATTTTAATCGCTGAAAAACCCCCATCATTAACGATTTTATTTTATATTATAAAGTCTTGAATTTACACGCTATAATTCTAAACGATGCATTTTACCTTGAACCTGGCCATTTTTTTGATTAGTAACTTAATATAATTGTAGAACCTGAAGAATATTCTTCGTTAATGTGTTTTAGAAATGTTTTTATTTAAGTATTATCCTCAAATCAGTAAAACATCTTGTATAATTACGTATAGACTTCCAAAAGGTATGTTTTCACTAAAAAATGAACAGGACCTCACAATTAGAACAGACTTTCTTTCATTCAAACATCACTTAGTACACGAGTTCCATTTTGCTATATGGTTGCTCTCAGAAATTGACTTTGTGACTCCAGAATTACATACCTCCATCCAGTATAAAACTATGAAATTGATAAGTATTATTCAGTAACACTTACTTGATAGCACTTCAAGGCCTACTAACATTTTATTACTTAATCTAACTTAGTCAGACATTTTGGAAGCAATAGGCTTACTGAAATAAATGAATTATTTGATATTACTCCGTTAATTAAGTGCAGTTCATTTATAATGTTAATTCTCTTAAGATATACAGACAGATCTAGTTGACAAATACCAACTATCACGAGATCTACATCCAGAGATTCCCTTTAACCACATAATATCATATTATGAAAATAAAATTCAATAGTTCTGGAGAAACAACACCCATTAAGTACAGCATACTCCTATGATCCCGACAGAAAATTTGAATGAACAGATGCACGGAGATCAGTAAATATAATTTCGGAAATAAAAAAAGCATTTTAAACAAGAAACAAATAGATAATTTTGTAGTTATATATGAAATTATTAGGTAATACATAACAAACAGATAAAACGAAACAAAGAATAAGCACATATACAAAAAAATGTCAACGTGATAGTCTGTTTTGCAATGATTGTAAATCTGGAAAACGTATCTCCTTGAATTTCTGATGAAGATTTAAATCACGCATTGCTGAAACAGCCCGAGCTGGCGCTCCGGATAATCCAGACTAACATTTTTTAACAAAAAAAGGTAGAAACAGGTTGATCCCATATAAGTTCATGTTTTATGAATGATACAATCGGCACATAGAAAGAAATTAGTGCTTAAATTCGTTTTTTTTTAAATTAGTGTGCATAGCGTTTACAATTTCACTTCAAATTTCGCCCAAAACTCTTTTGGATATAAAACAAACTAGCTGCAATCGGATTATGAAACAGAAGGATTCATTTGTAGCGAACTATTGTACACTTAGGACATAATAAGCACTTAGTTAAATCCATAACCATATCACAAAGTGAGATAACAATTTGATATAAGCTCTTGTGTCCATTGAAACAAAACGGAATACTTATGTTGTGGTGTGGGTTACTTATATCCACACAAGTAGTATATAACGGTGGTCAGGTATAAATGTATTTCAGTAGAAGGTCGATGAGGAAAGAACCGGAACGGAACGCAATTGGTATGAAAACGTATGAACAATGGAATTTGAGACAATGGTTTGATGTTTGCAACAGGACCAGTCAATTTTGAGATGATGGGTTGATATTTTGCAAATTAACAATTTATTACATGGTTCTCAGATTTTATTGAGATGCTCTGTAATTTAATGTCAAATACATTCGATCGTCCCCACTGGTGTTTTTGTTCACTACAATGTGACCGACAGATCCTTATTACTTCTATGGTACGTACTCGTACACATATTATCGTCACCTTTTACTCATGTACATTTTCTGTAGGTATGCTATTCTATTTTCGTTTATTCATATGAACTATGTACGTGGGTTGGTTAGTATTGCCAATCCCAAAGACGTATTCACGCGATCATTTCCTGCCTGTCTCCTAATACGTTTTCTTGAAATACAAAACTCCCCGTTACATTTGTATTCGGCATTAATATCATCTTTATTCAAATGGCATTAGCTAAATTATTATATAGGAAATTAATAATGGGGACCAATAAATTATGGAGTCAGATGGGCCACGAAACGCCATAACGTAAAGACTCCCATGCAAGTCAACGGTCGCAAAGCGAAAACCAACGGAAGCATAGATATGAATAAAAATAGAAACAAATTGAGCATTGTGTAGATTGTTATAAATAAATAATATATTTGTAATATCAAAATGAGATATTACAAATATATTATTTATTTATAAAAATAGAAACAATTACGGTGCGAGAAAAGTTACACGTCAGTAGTGTAATGTTTAGAACTTTAGGGAAGATGTGCAATGGACAACGACGGTTTCTAGTTATCCCAAGCATGCTATCTCTATACAACTGAATCCCCCTAAACTACTTGTATTTAGTAGGATGGTAAACTTAAAGGCGAACAGTTTGACAGTTAAACTGCTACAATATACTTCGATACGTAGACGTAAGTACAGTCTCTCGATCAACGTTTAGAAAGATCTATGAAAATATACTTTAGCCAAAACAAGGTCGTAAAACCACCTTATTCAATTGCCCAATCTCTTAGTTCGATCTGTTTTATTTTCGATAACATTTGGAAACAGTTCTGAAATACGTGCCGATATAGATTTCTTACTTGAAAACTTCTCGGCCTTGAGCTTGAGCATGATGCTGTTACATATTTTACCACTAAACAATGATTGCTATCCGAATGGTTAACTCAGTGTTTTAGATACCATTAAGATTAGGTTCATTTCTCTGAGATTGTAGTGAAATGAGTTATGTTGAACATAAACTTGATCATTCAAAGTTCAGCACTGATATAAAGCGACTAAATTTAACTCAATTATTTAAATTCTCACCCAGGTTGATTTAATTAATGATTCTAGTCTAGATGATGCTCAGAACCTTTCATTTTCAATCGTTTTACTTCATAACCATCTTCTGCCCGTCTAAAACTTCACGACTATTAATCATTTTGTACTTAGACACTGCTATCGGATTGACAGTGACTGTTAAATTAATGAAGACCTACGGAAATGCTGTTAACTTTCTAGAGTTCATTGTCCCACCTATTTGGGGGCACCAGGGCATTTGGGGACCTGGTACGGCCAAGAGTGGGGAGAGTCTGCCCTTCTAGAAATCCTCTCACATGGCCACGCGTATATAGCCTCTGCCAGGGAAGTCCTACTCACTGCCTTCTCGTACCACGGGTGTTGTTTACGAAATTGAGAGGACGAAAAGCGAATGTCTGGCGCTTTGACCGGGTTGGTGGACATGGAGAGTCCACCTAGGGCAGTTGGAAAACCCTGCATCGCCTTATGTTGCTCCACTACCTTGTGGACCAGACCTTCAGGTCGAAGGCTCCGGGTGTGGCCCCCTAAGAAAACCACCTGCTTCGGTTTGGGCACTCGAGCAGTATTATAACCCTCACACATATCAAATGAGATCTGTGTGGCGCATATGTATTTGGTGCCTCCTTGTACCAATATCTATGTGTTAAAATAAATAAATAATCCCACTTATTCATTCTGATAGTAAATTATTAGAATATTTCTGAGCTTGACCTTTTGAAGATTAAATAATAAAATGACGAATGAATTCATCTATACGCATATATCTTAAGGCGAAAAAATTCCTTGTCTAGAAATATCACTAGTACATAGTCTATTTACGAATTTCATCTTTTATCATTTTTTAACTTATAAAATATTCCTTAATTAGTTTGGAACTTTAATCCCTTCTTTATTATATCAATAGTTACAATAATAAATTGAACTTGCCTCTTGTTTCTCTAGTTTTTGTTGTTCTTCATATCTATGAGTAATTTCATTAATATGAGTTTCTAATACCATTCCACCTAATACAAGTTCATTTAGTATGTAGTGTACCTATACAAAAAGATTAAAAACTTTTTTAAAACAACAAATTACCTTATCTACATGAAAAATTAAATCAAGTTCACAAACATTCTCAAAACATTTATCTAATGCTTCAACAAATACTTGAATTAAATCCAATATGCCAAGTTCACTTTCAGATGAATCAACACAAAATACAAAATACAATGTTGCATAATGACGATAAATTAATCTATAATCTTGTCCACCGACTAGTCTGTAAAAGACCAATAAGCAAAAACAGGGTATCTTACGTGCCACCTTCTAAAAAATTACAAACATCATCATCTCTTCTAGAGACCAAATGAAAAACTTCTTTGACAATTTTCTGTTGTTCATCTTCACTCTGTGATTGAGATACAGTAAACAACAATTTAAACATACATAGTGCTCATAAAACTTTATTAATCTTGGTTTTCCATGGTTATTAATAATAAGTATGGCACGAATCATCAACAGGAAATATCAAGGTGTATCCGAAACTAGCGTTGCATAAACTCTGTATCGCTTCAGTGAACCGAAAAAAGCCTGAAGCAAAAATAAAAGACTTAAGTAGCCAACTTTTATGGAAGTAATAAAAAATTAAAGTTACTAGTGTTTGTCGATCAACATAAACATCACCATGAACGTTATCACAAGTCAAAGACTTTTAAGATGTTCAGTCAGTCAGTCATCTACAACGTAGGATCAGGCACATGTATGAATCGGTCCAAGTTGCCATACTTTTAATTAGTATTTACATGTTGAAGATAGAGTTAGAGCTAGTGACACGATGTACGATCAGGTTCAGCCTCACCCAAATGTATGGAGAGCTATTTTATCATTTATTTATTTAGTTGAACACATAAATATTGGTACAAGGCGGCACTGAATACATATGCGCTACACAAGTCACTTGACTTGTATGTGGGCTGTGATACTTCCCGGGTGCCCAAACCGAAGCAGGTTGTTTTCTTAGACGGCCACACTCGAAGCCTTCGACCTAAAGATCCAATCCACAAGGCAGTGGAGCAACTTTAGGAGATGCAATCTCATGATTGTCGGTGGCCAACAATAGTCAGTCAGTCAGTAACAACGTGGAACTTAGTACGTACGTACATCGGTTCGAGTTGCCATACCACATTAGCACAGAGATGCAGTTGTCGACTCAAATTCTGTAGTGGTAGAGGTAGTAAGAGTATAAGCAGTAATCGGAAAGATTAGGGTTTGAATATCTTATTCAAGTAGTATAATCCAGTGAAATAAATTTGGAAAGAAAATAAACGACCTGAAGAATTCAGAAGGTTAGAATTTGGGAGAACACAAAGAGTGGATGCACCTGCGCCATGGCAAACGATTTTGAGCCATGTCATTCAAAGTCTCTAACCATTGGTCGCTATCACCTCGCGGATTCCAACCAGGTAGTCTACACCTACCAACATGGCTGAGTCCACTCGTCAGTGACTTCATGGATTTGTGCCACGTTTTGGTCTGGCCGTCCCTAGCTTTCTTCCAGCCTACTCCTATACCAGAAAACATCGCACGTCGGGGCAGTCCGTGGTTGGGCATACGTAACACGTGTCCCAGCCATCTCAACCGATGAAGTTTCACTACTTCATCAATTGATTTGCCACCCTTACCTGGTACCCGTTTCATAACAACTGCGTTACTTACTCGGTGATCCCAAGATGTACGAGCAATGTTTCGAAGGCATACTTCATTCGCTACCTCAGAATCCTGGAGCGTATGAGTACTATTAGTTTAGAATCAGAGTTTTCCAACTCTCCAAGGTAGATCCTCCGTGTCCACCAAGCCGGTTAAAGTGCCGGACATTCGCTTTTTGTCCTCTCAATTTTGTAAACAACACCCCCGCCACGAGGAGGCAGTGAGTAGGACTTCCCTGGCAGTGGTTGTGTGCACGTGGCCATGTGAGAGCATTTCGAGAGGGAGAGCGGACTCTCCCCACACTTGGCCGTACCAGGGCATTTGAGAGCTAACATATCAGGTATTCATGAGTGCGCTGCTAAGACAGATTGGTCAGTAGATACCAGCTTATCAGTTGAAGAAGCATGGTCTATATTTAAAGGCACGTTTAATTCAGTTACGTCCTCGTTTACACCATACCTGGTACTACGTAGACCGAATAACAGTCCACCATGAATAACTAAAAAAGTCAAGAAACTTATTGGACGTAGGAAAAAGCTTTAGAATATATTCATCTCTACTGACAACAGTATAGATCCAGTTATTGTAAGACTAGAAATGCTTGTAAAGCGATTATTATTAAGACTAGACTGTCACGAAAAACAATTGCTTAGGAATTTTAAAAATATTCCAAAACGGTTATTCTCGTATACAAAGAAGTGAACTCAAAAAAGTGATGGAATCCCATCACTTTTGGTACAAACAAATCCGTTAATGTTGACAAGAGATGAGGTCGAAAAAGCTGAAGCTTTATCGGAACATTTTAAGTGTTTTCTATCATTGATGAAGAACGACCAAGGATTAAGTGTGACTTTGGCGGCTTGTTGATAGATCTTGTAGTTGTTGAGAAATGCATCGTCTTAAGACTACTTCAACATCTGAAACCTGACAAACCCAGTAGTTCTGACGACATTCACCATAGGATTATGAAAGCCATTGTCGAATGTAATTGCTGAAATTATAGTCATACTGTTTGATATGCCTCCGCGGCAGTCCAGAATGCCAAGAGACTGGAAAGACGCAATAATTAGTCTGGTGTATAAGGCGGGAAGTAGAGATTCAGTTACTAACTACCGACCCGTTAGTCTAACCAATGCAGTTGTAAAACTAATGGAAAAGATTGTTCGGATGGCTGTTACAAACTATGTAGAAGGACATAATCTTTTATCTGTGGAACAAGATAGTTTTCGGGAAGTCATGACATGTTTGACAAATCCGCTCATTGCGAGAGAAGATTGGGCCGCGGTAAAAGATAGAAACACTTCTGCAGATGTGATTTGCATGGACCTAAGAAAAGCCTTTGATAAGGTCTTCAATTCGTCTCTTAAATTAGAACTGGAAAGTTTTGGAATCCACTATAAGGTCAAAGACTGGATAAGCGACTTTCTCCTTGACAGGAGACAAGGGGTATGTGTAACTGGAGCTCTCTCATTGTGGGGACCTGTAAAAAGTAGAGTTCCCCAAGGCACATCTTCTCTTCTTACCTTATGTAAATGAATTGCAAACTAGGTCTTTTCAGTATTTGGATGAAATATTTAGATTATTATATCCAAGTCGATGACGCAGGAAGCGTACAAAATGCACTTAAATTTAGTAAGGAAAGTAATAAATAATAATCAGCAATAGAAAATCATCGGGTCAAAACATTTTGTTGACCAAAACTAGACGTAGATATTTTGACCCAAAACACTTACCAGACAGCCAGTAAGTGGACTCCAAGGTCGCAGAGGCCAAACAATCAAACCGTGAAAGTAAATTGACAATATTCAATATCTTTGCTGCAAACTAACACAAGCGTTTCAGTTTCTTTGTTTGGATCATGATGTTAAGCAGCGTTTATTGGTAGTCTTACCAATCGATGGCAGTTGCTACTGTGAATTTTTCTGGGATTGTTGTTGACAAGTATGGATTAAAGCAAATAACTGTATGAGAACATAAGATTCTGTTCTGAATTCTTGAGAATCCAGCAAAATTCTCTTGGAGGATTCAAGACAAGTTTCTGTTGTTATCTGTTTTTTCTGGTCGTTTCAGTACTTGACTGCTTTTAAACGGTAAGAGATATGATTACATTCCGAACTACTATGTCCTGCATCTAACTTCTAATTATTCCTCATAAGATTGAGGGTCTGGGTGATAGTGGTCCCAAATGACACAGGTCTTTTGTCTCGCTTGCGGCCGCGAACTTATACAGTGTCTCGTCATGACAAACTGAACCTGTGGTCACTTTCGTTAGTCTCTTTCTCCAATGACTTGAATTCTTATTAGTTATTTTGGGTTCTCTTTGAGCTTTATGACTTTCCACATCATAATCTGTCAAACGACTAAGAATCCCAGAGGCAGCCGGCCTGTACGATTTGTAAACATGAAACCAGGTTACCCAGACAAGATGGTGGGGATTTACATTATTAAGCCGTTATGGGAAATCAACAAAGGAAATAAGTGTAATTTAGTTAAGGCTGATCAATTAATAAAGTGGTGTGAGGCGATTCACCAAGAAAGTAGCTAAAACGGTACTTTAAATATGGATTGCTCATCTGGGTACCTCAGTTCACTTACATTCAGATAGAGGTACCAACTTTGAAAACATACTTTTTTCAAAACTCATGCCGTGCTGGGAATTCGCAATACACGAAAAATTGCCTACCATTTAGAAAGCAACAGGTTTGTTGAACGACCCGATTGAACACTCAAAACGCTACCAAAAGCATTTGTTATTCAGGAAGAAGCTAGATCACAGGAATTTGCCATAAACATGTTTACTAACATATCGCGGTAACGTCCATACGTCCACTGGACATACACCTCAGTTGCTGTGGACAGAGAGGGGTGTATGGCTTCCAGCTGATTTCTTGCCGCCAAAAATGCACTCAGAAACTCTCTTGGTGTCAGACATGGTTATGAAGCTTCGGGACGACATATCGAGGCATCATAGTATGACTCAAGTACATTTGGGCATGGTACAAAAACATTAGAGAGAGTATTATAATTAGAAGGCTCTTGAAGTACCCTTACAATCAGGAGAAAAGTATGGTTAAGAACAAGAAACCTACCAACAAGGAAAGTAACTAAACTATGTAGAAAATAGACAGACCCTCATGAAATGGACGAAGTCTTAGCGAAATCTTCGTGTGAAATAAAAGACCAGAAACGAATCTCGCTTACATATGGTCCCCCAATATAATCACCTAAAATTGTCTTGTGATCGTGTATGATATATGGTTAACTAAAAACTACACTTAAGTTACTTTTAAAACAATCGGTTCACGACTGCGTTTTGTTTGGTTTGTTACGTGTCTCAAAGTGATAGAATAAGCAGTAAGAGCATTAAGAGAGAAGTGACCTGTGGTTTGCAGTTATTGATTGATTGGTCGGTTCAGTACCTGTATTTGGACAGTCGCAGCTAGTTGGAGGCTCACTGAGACGAGAATGTACACACATCTGACAGTAATATTTACTCTAATGGCGATTCCAGCCAACTTATCGAGTTGATGGCTATAGTTTTATTGTCAATGTTGCACCCTATTTGACCGTATTAACATCCACTCGCATAAATTTCAGAACGTCAATAAAGCCGAGCAGTACTACATAATAATCATTCCAACGAGGCAAAATTGAAGCCTTCTGAATCTGTGGAATTATGTGGGGTTTGTGTTTGTTACCACAATAACAGACCTAATCTGAAATTCGTGGATTAGTCATGATTTGACTACCTAGTCTATAAGATCTAGTGTGGAGGTCACATCATTGTTTATACTAACTAGTCCTGTTGT